GGACTGCAATTTCCGTCTCGTCTGAAACGATCTCATCACCATCCAAGGTGGGAATCGAGCCTGGAGTTTGGGTGGCTGTTGTTGACACCGTTTCAGACGAAACTGCTGAAACTCTAGTCCAGTCGGTATTCTAATTAATAATCTTTTGTACGCAAGACCATGATGCTCACTCATCGGATTGTAGGAAAATTGAAATTTTGGCCTTTCCTCGCATTCGGCGGAATGGGGTGAGTACGTCTCCAATTTGGCAATTAGCACTGCTACCCAAAGTTAGCTTCAGTACATTAAACTTTAATTAATTCACGTAGATTTGATAAATATCTGAATAAATAATGCATTTGCTGACGGAGCAGCGTCAGAAAAGAAAATCAGTGAATAAACTAGAAATCACATACAAATGGATTGACCTCGATTTCTCAAATTAATCTTGTTGCCATGGCGACTTAATTGAGCGAACTTTGTCCGAAGTCGTCTGCCATTGTAGCTATCGTAATTCCCAGACTTAGTACATTCGCAAACGTTTCCCCGGCATCGTAGTGGGCCTCATCGGTGATTCTTGCTGGGAATTATGATAACTATTAATTATGACAGTGGATCTCGAAAAAGGTACATTCAACTAAGTCGTCTTGACAACAAGACCAACTTGTCAAAACGAGGTCAGCCCACTTCCATAAATCGAAAATGGCCTGTGACCGTACCGAAGGTTACACCATCTTGGTCTTGATATCCACGCATTACACAGTAATTCTTGGCATAAATTAACAATAATCTAAAAATTGCTTATAAGTAGCATATGGTAGGCTGAATTCGAATAAAGGCGAAAGTAAAGAATGCTAAAGAAAGTGTCATCGGTTGGCCAGCCATTGCATACTATGAATTGAATATAATCATATTTACTAATAGAATCAATCATGTTGCTGACTTTTAGATGAACCACCGTTCCAGCTTTGCTAAAAATACTCTTTTGGCAGCAAGATTGAGCGGAATTCACTGCAAGCATGTCGCTGTGAATGCCAATTCAACAATCATTTAAGCATCAATTTATGCCATCTGTTGAGCTAATGTTGCTCCACACACCACATTTCTGTAGGAAAACGCAACTATCTGTCCTTTATCACTTTATGTGACCTAGTCCTGGAGTCTGTATGTTATGCGGTTATGCAGAAAGATGGACCTACCGGAAGGCTCGGATTCTGACGCCTCCTTCAAGGACAGCTCGACTGGCAGGCCGGACTCGCCAAGTTGCCCCTCAAACGGAGGCCATAACGTCGTCTGACGTCGTCTCGACAACGACGAATACGGGCCTCGAGTCCCACACTGCGATGGCGCCAGATAGCAACGGTGACTTGGTAGAAGTGTTGCCATGGCAGGGCCTGAATAGAAGCTGGCATCTTCGAGATGATCGCCAGTCAATTGCTGCGATCCGGTCATCATGTTGTGTCCGATCGGCGAGTTGCTGAGGGTGGAGGCTCGTCTTGGAGCCCGTCCGATCGCCTCCAGTTTGACCCCGGCAACCAGCCTATTCCTGCCCATACTGCCGTGGAGACTGTTGCCGGTGCAATTGTTGCCAGGGCCAAATTCGAGCAGACTAGTTGCCGGGTGGCCGGGACCGAGTGTGGCCGAGTAGTCGAGGAGACGGCCGTCCTGTCCGACGGCCCAGAAGTGGCCCGGCCGCATTCTCGCGGCCAGACTGGTCTCCAGGTCGACCGGGTTGCCGTCGAGAGCGATGTCTGCGCCGGCAGGCAGGAGGCCGGTGGCAACGTCGAGAGGGTGGTCGGGTAGAGGATGAAGGAGGAGACCGGATTGGCGGGTCAGCCCAGAGGACGCGGTGAGATGGGCCAAATGATGCTGGTCTGGAGGTCGCGAGTAGAGCTCGGTGAGGCTGAGCAGATGAGCTGGCGTCTGGGACAGCGGGTAGGGCTGCTGCGGGGGGCTGGAGTGGATGGACGAAGTCTGCAAGGCACTGAATGGGGAAGAAAAGCAAAGGCAAGATTGGCGGTTCGAGTCCCGCGTTGAGTTGAGGCGTTAAATCTGAGGCTTGGTGGTTAAGTGGAGTCGCTGATGCCGCGTGAAATGGCATCGAAAGTGGAAGATTCACACAAAAGTTGTCGACAATTGAGGCGTATAAATGCCCATTCACATGAACTGGATGACGAGGCAAAGTTAGCTGACACTTTTTGATATGATCTAATGGTGACGTGGAAGGTATATGAGATGTGTTTACTCTATTTCGCTTAAGGCGATGAAGGACTGGGAGTTGATTTTTCTCACATTCCATAAAAACCTTATCATCCCGGCTGGAGTGGACTGCAGTGTCGACCACGTCTCAGCTGGTCGTATCTAGACATCGCAGGCGGAACTCGAACCATGGCAGTTCAGCGTCTAATCTCGACACGTTAACCAACAGGTAGATGTGAATTTCACGGAAGCTCAGGCATTTTGCATATCACATTATGTGTTGGGATTGTCGATGAAGCAAACTTATATTTGTAATGGCAATGGACAACACTACTTTTTTCGTAAATAAATAGAATTTCAAGACTATCAGTAAATCACAGATATTTGTTATACATATATATATATATATAGCAATTATATCTATT